TTATGTCCACAGGCTCATTATGTCCGCCCCATTATGTCCACAGGCCCATTATGTCCGCCCCATTATGTCCACAGGCTGATTATATCCACCCCATTGTGTCCACAGGCTCATTATATCCATCTCATTGTGTCCGCAGGCCCATTATTTCCGCCCCATTGTGTCCGCAGGCTCATTATATCCGCCCCACTGTGTCCGCAGGCCCATTCTTTCTGCAACGTGTCTTAAATTCAATTCAGTATCATCTATAATGACATGGAACATACTGGTTCCACTCTATGAATGATTCATTTTCTGTCTGAATATTCAGGGTTCAGGGGATGACAGTGACGGGCCAGTCACACAAGTGAAACTAATAATCGTTTTTGCAAACTTCGTCAGTCTTTCGTATACATTTGTTTAGTGTTAAGAAAAGAAGTAGACAGTTTTTGATTTGTGCGAGCTTAGAGTTTTATGTTTTAATGCAATTTGCACATTCATAAGGAAACCTATGATTTCACTGAAGGCAATCTGAATGTTGCAAATGCTCGGTCATTTTTAAATGTTTTTATCGTGTAACTCATGCAACTCAAAAATGATGTTAAACAGTCTTTATACATCAAAGAAGAGTGCAGAGATACACAAAAAGTGCTTCCATGTAAACCTCATTTCATGGATCATTTAATTAAAACGGAGACCCTTAGCTGACTAATAACGCTGAGGTGAACCAATTTATGTTCAAACATTTTAACAGTAAACGTTAACAAACACGTTTTATTGAGACAGAGAACAGTAATAAATCAATTCCAACAGCAACGGAAAACTAAGGTGCAAATAATATTTGTGAGTGCACAAGAACATTTTTAAAGTGAACAAATACGTAGAGTACATAACATACTAGAAAATGAAATACAATTAAAAACCCCAGAATATGAGCACAAACTGCAATCGAATCAGACAGAATTTTCATTACATCGGTTATCAGCTTTTCAAACAAACTCACTCAAGAATTTGCGTTGACTATAAATAACAGATGTAATAGGTTTCAGTTTTGTAAATTTAACCATTTTTCTTAACCACATGAAAACATTGAAGTCGGGAAGGTTGGTTATTTTTACTTTTCAAAACTCTCTAGCTCAGGACAACCAGACTCTAAACCCCAGGAATACTTCCTTTCCCTGCCTTCGTTTCAGATTTATAATTATGAAATTTTAAATATCAGTACTACTTCACAAGTAAACACTTTCAACATTGAGAACATTTGCTGATCAGACAGGTTCGAATGAGACTAAAACCAGCAATGATTTACAGCCAATAACAATGAGGGAAAATGGTGGTGCAACTGACATTTTTGATCCCAAAGAATAGTTCTGAAGTCAAAAATTCATAAAGTATAAGTGCACTCAAAATGAAAGTACAGTTTGCAACCCCCGAATACGATTGCAAACTTGACGTGAAATTAATACTGAACCTTGATATGCTTCATCCTGCAACGGTAATTAACTCTGAAGAACACAGAATACGAACTAGCTCGACAGTTTTCAGTTTCTTTGGTTCTACTGCGGTTAATAACTAAATATATCCTGAGTTTTACATGTACTGTGCGAGCATAAACCACACGAACATGTACATGTACACTTGCTCCAACGGTCGAGAATTTCCTTGCACCTGTACATGCACGTGTACGCCGCGGTAACAACCCGCGGGAAACTATCGGTTTTGAGCATATAAAACACGAACAGATCGCTCTGCGCTGAAGTATCCAATATAACTCATGGAAGTCGATCCAAAATATATAGCTGCATGTACATAGAACTGATTGTACCGTGTGGTACCATGCAGTATCTCACTGCTTGGGGAGAACATCTAAAATTGAGAAATGTTGTGGAAAAGAAAAAATGATCGATTGAAAATGGAAATAATTTATCATCTTAGCAACAACTTTAAGGCTAAATTTCAAACTTACGTCCCATTTCTTTTTTCCAATTCTGTAGTGTTTTATTCGATTTAAGCCTTCAAGGGCACATACAAAAGAGTTTCAATCCGTTTGTTAACTTTGTGCAAAGGCGTCTTCAAAACGAGAAGGCTCACCAGAGGATTGGCAAGTTGCTGAGGACATTTCCGCATGGTTTACGGGGGTCCGGCCGTGGGTCAAGTAACAGTCTCCCACGGTCGAAGTCGTTAATTTCCACACGTCGAATGGGGGAGAAACATACGTGTAGGGCGACTTGTTACGCCCCTTCCCTATACACCCACACACACACAATTTTTCTGCAACTGGAGACCCCCCATAGTTCCTCTTTTGTTTTACTTCAACTCTTTTAAAAGACCACCCATATGTTTTGTGCACAATTTTTATTCGGG